TAAGTGTACTACAAAATTATATTTAGCAATAGATAATAATGAGTATGATGACAATCATAAGATAACGATTGTAAATGATATATCGCCGGTGAAAAGTGATAACCTATAAATAAAGTTTTTTATTGTCCTGTTGTAAAATATCCTGAGATGGAGTTAGAAGGATAACACTTTTCACCGACGATATAATGGTTTGTTTCGAAAGAAGTTTGTTTTGCAGTCAAATGGTAATCAATGTACCACAGCGATAATAACATTGTTATTGTCACTTATTAATAACAAAATTCGGTTATTTCATGTGATTTTTTTACATTAAATAACTACTAAAATTAACAGGAGAATTACATAAAATTTTCAAATGTTTAAAATAGGTAAGTAAATTATGTAGGGTAGGAAAGAGAGAGAGCATTTTCGGAAATGCATGTATATTTTCGCTGAAGTATTTGCAAAGTATTTGCAAAAATGAGACCAAAATTAGAAATAAACAGTGGAGGCTCGTGGGGTGGTTCACAGTGACAGAATATAGGTATCAGTACAGATGTATGAAAAAACTTTCAGTGTTTTAGAAAGTTTATAATATGCCTTTCTAAAACACTGACAGTTTTTTACCTATATCTGTACCGGGATCTATATTCTGCTACTGTGAACCCCCAAAATTTTGGTCACAAGCCGCCTCTGCTTGAAAATATGGAAATAAAATGAACCAAAGGCTAGAAACTAAGAAAATCAAAAATAATGATCACTGGTAAAGAAGAGAAATAACAGTAACAAATAAGAATTTAAAATAATACTTTATTCGCTCTTTACCATTTACCATAAAATGCAAATAAATAATTTACAATTACATTAAAAATTTAATATAGATTTAAAATTCATTGTTCTGCAAGGTCCTATTCTTGTATTGAGTATATATACTTTCATTAAGAATGAGTAGCTAATTAATAGGACGATTAAACAAAACGCTTGAATAGAATATTAGTTTTAGAAATATAGGGAGTTAAAAGTCTAAAAATTATTAGTGGCTATAGTTTTTTATTTCTCAGTAAATATTTTTGGTGTTATAAGATAGGGTCCTATTGCAAATAGAAGAACACAGCTGCGTCATAACCATTACTTCGAATACATATCTATAATTTTCAATAAATAAACAATAAGTAAGTTGTTTGGTATAAAACAATATTTCCTATAATGTTAACACCACTAAACTCCCAGTAGATGACGATAATCACAAATAAACTCCGCCAGAGGCGTACAGCATGGATATAAGTGTAACACTTTCATCCCCTCTAAATTTTACGTCACTGCCCAAAAACTTATTAGGACAATATTTTTACGTTTTTTGATATTTTTTTCATAAATCATGTACTCTTGTTGGGAACTCATAAACCAATCACTTTCGGTTTCGAGATATTCACACTCAAAAGTGGAAATTCTTTTTTAATTGTGTTATTTTTGATTTTTTTTTATAAATTCCCAACAAGAGTACATGATTTAAAACGCATCAAAAAATTCAAAATTATAATCTAAAGGGATGAAGGTGTTAGTAAACTTACTCATGCCGTACGCCAATGGCAAAGTTTATTTAACTGATTTTGATGATATGCATATTTATGACACCAAAATTTTATAAAAAAAATTAAAAATAAAATCAAAACTGTGAATATCTTTAAAACCAATCACTTTATGAGTTCCCAACAGGAGTACATGATTTATTTAAAAAACATCAAAAAACGTAAAAATATAGTCCAAATAATTTTTTGGGCAGCGGCGTAAAATTTGGAGGGGATGAAAGTGTTACTTATCCATGCCGTACGCCACTGGCAAAGTTTATTCAACTGATTGTTTTGCTGATTAGTGTATCTTATGACATCAAAAATGTTCGAATATAGTAAAATTATACCGAGGAATAAAAAAAATTATAGCCATTTGAATTTTTAACACGCTGTTTTTCGGAAGCCAGTAATATTTTATGTAAGCATATTGCGTTTAATCGTCTTAATGATAGGTTTACTAGTAGGTATGAATTCCCACATAAAATGTGGGTTGGTTGTGAGTTAAAGTTTATCTTTTACCCCAAAAATATTTATTAGGGGATTCAAAATAAATGTAGGATAAGAGCCATGTATCCTTTTTAAAAAATCGCCCCAAGGTACATTTTTAAAATTCTTCATTTTGTACAAAACCATTGATTAAAAAAAAAAAAACTAGAGTATTGATTTAAAGAACATATTTTCTGTCGATTGGTATGTATATTGTCTACAATCGGTAAATAAATATGTAGTAAAAAAAGAATAAACAAAACACTTAAAAATTTCTAATGGATTAGTATTCTAGTACATACGTATTTCCTACTTTTAATAAATTTAGAATCCAGTCTATAGAATATCGTTAATTCCATTAGAGACTGGAATTGATAACCATTATTTCTTGCTGAAGAATCTTAATTAGAACGAAACTGGTCCAAGAATGATGTTCTCCTTAGTTAGCAAAATCAAAGGTAAAGCGTTAAAATAAAATTTCTATTTCTGTCTTTCCTTTGGATGTAATTCAATACCTGTTGTGATATTAGCCGAAGGAGTGGTTGTTTTCCGAAGGGAAACAGTAGCTCATATTTTGTGTGACGTGGCTTTATATTTTATTTTTATCTTGGTCACATTTTCCTTTTTTAAATTTTATATAGTTAACATAACTGAATATAATTAGAGAGGGTACAGTAAGTACAGAAAAAAAAAACTCTTGCATTAAAAGATGCCTCACGAGTTGTGGACAGTATAGTTGGAGGCTTTGAGGAAGGTGTTCAAACATCTACAACTAAGTGTGATCTCAGCAAGGCCTTTGACTGTGTAAATCATAACTTGTTGATAAAAACACTTAACTGTGAGAGGGGTGCCTTTAAAATTGATAATCAGCTACTTAGCAGACAGGCACGAGAATAAAACTTCAAATTTTCGATATATTAAACATGGTGTCCCCCCAAGTTTCCATTCTTAGGCTACTGTTTATAATATGTAAACGATATTTTTTACTTCCTAAACCCTACAGAGTGCATTGTTTTTGCTGACGATACAACTAATCCATAAGGCAGATTTATCACACATCAGAACCACTGAGATATCAAACACTGACAAAGCAGAATACAGGTTATCAGCAAACTATCAAAAATTGAATGCAAACAAAACTCAGCACATCAACTTATATCCCTCTACAAGGTAAATTTTGTGCTGCGTCAACTTAAAAAAATGACTAATAACGAAACTATTGAGTATCTATTATGCTCTTCTTCACTCTCATATATCTTATGGAGTAGTCATTTGGGGAACAATGGATTCTATAAGAGTATTTAGACTACAAAAAAGCTATCTGAATAATCTCTAGCGTGGGCTTTCTTGACCACTGCAAGCCGTTATTTTTAAAACTTGGAATTATGCCACTACCTACACTATACATTTATTATCAGTTACTATCCATACATGATTCTAGATCAAACTCAAATAAAAATTCAAATATCTATGAATATCCTAATATAAGTATGTAAAGTATACCTAAATCTCTATAATCATTTACCTGATCATTATAAATGTTTAGATAAAAATTCGTTTGATATAAATAGAAAAAAATTACTAAATAAATTTGCATTTTACTCTATAATGGAATATATGAACACTCCTTCCAGCTTGTTGACTCAGGCTTTATGTATATTTCTATACATTTTTAAATTATTTTATTTTAAATTACTTTTTTTTAAACTATCATATTTGTATTGTGTAAGTGCAGGTATAATGTATATATTTTAAGCATCTGATTCGTAATCTTTGTTTTCATTTTGACCTGCTACAAACATTTTGTAAAGTAGTTTAATATGATAGCTCTAACTGCTGCACTTTGCTGAATTTCTCCATAATAGAATTCCATAGGAAATTTGACTTTGGAACAGCCCCATGTAGGCAGTTCTACAGATTTCTGTAGTAGTCGTTTTCGCATTTTTTGGCTTCGATACGTTACGCTAGAGAGATTTTTAGAAAGCATCTGCAAGTTTTGTTTTACATAATCTTTATCCTTATCCATTTCCTTTAGGAAAAAGTTAATTGATGTTTAAGATTTATTTAGAGATAGTTCATTAAAGTTAAACCAGAGTTTTGCTTTATCCAAAATTTCCTCTTATTCCTGGGCGTCCACACAAATAACTAAAGGCATTACAAGAAGTAAAATTAACAAAATAATTAAGAACTCTTCAAAACTCGCATCATTACTGCTACCTTCCAGGAAAAAAAAATGGAAAATATAATAAACTTGGCTTACCAATCACTACTAACAAGAAAAGGAAAAATGAAAACCACTAGTCACAATAAATAATTGAATATGGACCCATTATATTAGAGAAAGACTAGGAGTAGATCTAACAATGAAGAAATTAAAAAAAAAACTGTTAAGGTGTTATGGACATTTAATATAAATGAATAGAGACACCAGTTTAAACAGATAATAAGACAAAAAAACAATTCAAAACACAACCTAATACAAAGCTATTAATAAAATCTAAAAACAGGGAATGATAGAAAATAATCAAGCATATTGGCAAGAGACAAAAAAGAACTGGCAAAAATTTGTATAAGAACAGAGACAAGGACAAGAACATTCTTTTACAACATCTAATGGTAGATTATTTAAGTAAATAGTTTGTAATTTTCCAGGATTCTCTTTCTAAATTAATATCAATAAACTACACCACTAGATTGCTGAAGAATAATTGTTCCAGTGTTTCAAAAAATAATCCTGAGTGTGTTCCATTAAAAAGTAAAGAAAAATATAGTCCCAAGTATTACCTATCACAGTTGAAATTTTCACAAATAAACCAAACCTGAAAAATTTTGGATTCAAAATTAAAAAATTGATTTTAGTGTCTTTATATTGTTTGATGTATATGTGTACAATATATAAAAGCACAATATTATATTACAAAATCAAAATAATTAGTAAATATCTAATCTAATCAAATATCAATTTTATTCAAAATTATTATCTCCATATTTATTTTTGCTTTCTATTTTTTCTGTACTATTACTGCTACTGTTGCTAAAATTGGTAGTTGCAGGAGGTTTACTTTCAGGACTTTTTCCAATTCTTTTTTGTGTGTACTCTTCTCTGTTTTTCTTTCTCAGTTCCTCATAAGTTGTTGCATATTTCTGTTCAGGAGGCATCTCTTCTAAGTTTTCTATATTAGAATTATCCATCGATGGCCTATTATAATCGTCTAACCCTTTGTTTTCAGGCCTGTTGGTATCTATATCTAGACTACTATAGGGACTAACATCAGAATAAGTATCTGAAGTATTTATTCCAGAAAATGGAGCCAATGATAATCCAGGACCAAAAGTATTATCCATATTTTCACGGATATTGCCACGTCGTTTTTGTCTCAACATTTCACCAATCTGACTATTAGGTAGCTGCATAAGCTTTTCAGCACATTTAGATTGGTATGAAAACTTGCCCACAAAGTAACCAACAATTACAGAAACAATTACTTTAGGAGTAGCTCCAAATTTTGGGTTTCCTTTTAAAAATCCTGCTTTAACTGCGTAATATGAAGAGCCAGCTAATAAAGCACTTAAAGGAAGGCATCTTTGGTAAAAACTTTCTTTATTACATTCTTTAAGAACTCTGAGTTCGTCTTGGGAAAATTGAACTTTTTTTCTATTATTTGGATCAAAGGGGGGTGGACGTCTAGGACCTTCTGAAGATTGGTCTGGATTAATCATTTTTAATTAATGATTTACTTACATTTCATTATTTCAAACTCAAAAAACTTTTAGGTTAGGCATAGATATGAAGGTTGACAAATGACAGATCACAACTGGATCGCAGGGGTGCGTTCAGAAATAGGGGGTGTCAAATTTTCAATCGTTCGGACAAAATTCGTTGGAACGTTTATTTTTGCCCGAAAAATACGAACGGTAAGTGCAAAGTCACATACTTTAATTACTGTACAATGAAAGAGAGAGGTCCGACACGCCCAACATAAGGCGCGGCCATTTTGATGCCTTTACCACAGTTTATTGCTAAGGAATCAGTTCGCTCACTCTGTCTGCACTTTTGATCTCAATGTTCCAGTTTATACACTGCGCAACTCTGATAATACCACATACTTTGATTACTATACAGTGCAAGAGAGAGGTCCGACACGCCCAACATAGGGCGCGGCCATTTTGATTCCTACGACACAGTTTATAGCTAAAGAATCAGATCGCTCACTCTGCGTCGGCACTTTTGATCTCAATGTTCCAGTTTATACACTGCGCAACTCTGATAATACAATATATGACAACCGCCTATAATAAAACAGCAGTCTTCTGCGTATCCTGAATTTGTATCCCTGGAGTGGATGTTATTTTGGAAATTTCAAGTGGTCCGAGTGAGCTAACTGATTCTTTAGCAATAAACTGTGACACTGACAGCAGCAAGCAATATATCAGGTGCGTTTTAATTATCCGCTTTTGCTTCCGGAATTGTCGGTTTAGTCGTTTTAACCTGTCAGATTAAAACAAGAAAACCGACAATGCCGAAGCAGAAGCGGATGATTAAAACGCACCTATAGACCTTTTCATCACAATTTTTTTTTGTGCGCATGCGTCAGTTTCAGCCATCTTTTTCGTACTGTTTTTGTAAACATGTTAAAATGCTTACGTGAAAAAAATTATAATTGATAAATATTAATTTAAGTCTATATATTCATTTAAAAAAAGGAAGAAAAAAGTAAAGTAATAATAAGTTTAGTGTCTTAATTGAAAAATACATTTTCACAATCAATTATAATTATGTTATCTGTACGGAAAGGAACAACGAAACAGTGTTGTTATGTAAAAGTGACACACGGTATAAATCATTCAAAGGCAATAGATATTATTTTATAAATTTTCCAAAGCCTTAACTGCAATATCGTAAACAATTATCAGGCAAAATCCATATTAAAAGATATTCGAAATGTGCATTAAGTGTGAAAAAATATTGTCGAAGTGACAACGGTTTTCGATGGATTAATGATGTTACTAAAGATACTTATATTTCACTGCATTTTCATGGAGAAAGTGGTCCAACAGAAGAAAATTCTCATGTGGTATTAAACAATATTTTTTTAATATTAAATACTACTTCGGTATACACATTAAATGATTAAAAATGTCATGTTGATCCTCAAAATAATAAATAATATATTTTATTAATTATACTCGTGATTAACTTTCATGTTAATTAAAGTATTTTTGCAAGTACTAATAGTTGGTTGGCATAATTAATTAGAATAAAGTTATAATTATTATTTGTTTTCATTCATTTTTTACAGAGTTAAAAAGTATTGATACACCTAACCTCTCAATTAGTCCACTTTGTTCCTTTGTAACAAACATCCAAGACACTTCAACCTCCTTTTCAACTGCTCACAACTATGCGCTTCCACAGAGTTATAAAAAAGTTATTCACTATCAACGATTTTTTCTAATGATTAATTTTTCTGTAGAGATAACATTGCTTTCCCAGCCATTGTCGATCAAAACAGTACGAAACTTTTGAATTACCGCTATTTCAACATGGTGGCTGCGCTTGCGCTCATCACATGATGAAAAGGTCTATTAAAAATATTGCGCCAAGATGTAGGCAACACGTAATAAGGGTTCAAAATGGCGGAGTTTTCTATCTCCTTTTAAAAGGCACTCAGCTGCGCAGTGCGACCATTCTCTGTATAGTAAAAGAAAATCAAAGTATGTGTTCGCAATGCAACCATTAGGCATTCCAAACAAATGAATTACCAGTGGGCAGGTTTGGTATATCTAAGGGTGGCGACATATGGTGTATTCTATCTACTTTACGTAAAATCATGAATAATGGATTATATTTAAATATTTTATGTCAAACACAATAAAAATAATATTTAAAAAACCCACCTATACATTTCTTCATAAATTGGCAGGCTTGGCGACTACTACTTTGAATAAAAATAGCGTCCAAGTTGCAAGACTATGTCGCTACCCCCTTAGATATACAAGAATTTCCCACTGGCACCTATTGTTTGACAGGTCGTTGGAATGCCTAATTCTCCGTATAGTAAAATAAAATCAAAGTATGTGGTGAGCGCGCTCTGAATACGTGATCTATGACAAGCCGAACACAAAAGAGTACGCTCTGAGTGCCAAAACGACCACAATTGAGGTATACCGAGTTCACTCTGAGTACAGCGAACGCCAAACCGAACTCAGCCATTATTTTTGGAGTCACAGTTTATTGCTAAAGAATCAGTTAGCTCACTCGGACCAGTTGAAAGTTCCAAAATAACATCCACTCCTGGGGCTCGATTCTCGAGATCATTGGAAAATTTTCCCATGAGAAAATATTCCACTACTTATATTCCCATGGTAATAGGTTATGCAATTCTCGAACGTGTTGGAATAGACATTCCCATGGAAATAGTAGTTTCACGTATGTCTGATATTAAGTTCACGAATATTTCGAAACAACCAATAACATTAAAGATATTTTAAAATTTACTGTTGGCAATATTTGTATTTGTTGTGGTTTTTGGGTATCCGATTACCTGCCGAGCCTCCGCGCTGGAGCAGGTGCCGTGCCGAGCAATCGCTATCATGATCGAGAATAAGTGAAAATATTCGATTACGTATAATAATTAAAACTTGTCGAGTTATTCTTAGTTTTTCTTTTCTCATGTTGAAAAAAGAAAAGGTAGCTTTTGTATGGAAGAGCAACGAAAGTTTTGAGAAACTAAGAAATTCTTTCATTAACGAAAATAATAAAATTTTCGAAAAGTTCTTGTTAAATTTACTACACTCAATTTGTGTTATTTGCCAGTCCCTTAGCAGCTCCCACAATTTATAAATGATTTAGGAAAATCAGTTTATACAGTTTCTTAATGAAAGAGAATTAAAAATAATATACCTACATAAATAAAATAATATCAATCTATAAATACGCCAAAAAAATGTTTTAACTACAATTTCACTAAAAATCCAAGATATCCAATAATCTTTGGTTATGTCTTAGACTTTCGCATGGTCTTTCGTCAAATTTTCGACTTTAATGCGCAAACTCTAGTACAATTCCCATTGGAAAACACAATTTCCAATGCTCGTAAGCAGGGGAATATTTTCCCATACTTCTCATTGGAAAATATTCCACCGCTTATGTCGAGAATACGAAAACTGAATTCCCATGGGAAAATTTTATTTTCCCATGGGAATAAAAGTCGAGAATTGACCCCCAGGGATACAAATTCAGGATACGCAGAAGACTGCTGTTTTAATATAGGCGGTTGTCATATATTGTATTATCCGAGTTGCGCAGTGTATAAACTGGAACATTGAGATCAAAAGTGCCGACGCAGAGTGAGCGATCTGATTCTTCAGCTATAAACTGTGACATAGGAATCAAAATGGCCGCGCCCTATTATGGGCGTGTCGGACCTCTCTCTTGCACCATATAGTAATCAAAGTATGTAGAAGCAAAACAAACCCTTATTGCATTTATCAAAAAGATTAAAGGCTTGGCCCACATGGCTTGGCCAGCGCATTCAGTTTTAAAGAGTATGTCCCTTTTTCGTTTTTAATACTTGTTTCGTATCTCCCTCTTTCAGCTTGCGATATTCCGATTCTTCACTGGATCCAGGCCACCTAAGAGAAAACGTAAAATAAAAGAAGAAGAAAATTCGTTAAAAAGAGGTTAGGTTTTTTGTTTATGAGGTTTGTAATTTATTTTGTATTTATAGTTTTTAAATTTGTCAAAGAATTCATCAATTTTTAAAATGAACGGAGATTATGAAAAATACTTGAAAGATAAAAGAATTTCATGTAAATACGGTGCCAAGTGTTATCAACAAAATCCAGCACACCATGAAAAATATAAACATCCTCCAAAGAGAAAAGTATGTACCTATATTATTTTTTAGTTTGTTTTTTACATTTTGTTATAACATATTTACAAATTAATATCAATTAATTTAATTCAGCTAAAAAATTTGCAACCTTCGATAAAGAAATTTAAAGCTGAAAACAAAGTAATTGTAAGAAATAATGATTCAGACTCTGATGAGGAAGATTCCAAAAACCAAACTAATTCAGATTCAGAATCAAGTGTTGATACAAAGAATCGGACTCTAAGGGTTAATAATGATGTGTCAGATTCTGATAGTGAAACCAGTAAAGATACTTCTGATGATGCAGAAGAATCAAGTCCAGAACAGTCAGCCCAATCAACAAATAATGATGGTGAGTTAGAAAAAAATATTTTTGCTATTATTAGGATTGCCAATTGGGAAAAAATAATTTTGTTGAGGAATATCTGCACATCTGCTCTTCGCATTTCAAATCATCATTCACCTATTGGCCTAGTGTAGTGTTTATTTCAGTTTTACGAATAATTCTAATTTTAACCTAGAGCCCAGAGGATGATGTTCAAAACCCTGAGATTCTGGGTTAAAATGATGTTGGCAACCCTAGATATTGTATTAAATTATAATAAACTTGATATTTAATTAGATTCATTATGCCATTACTGCAAGGCTCAGTTTTGGTCTAGATCATTAGGTACTTTTATTACAAAATAACTATATAATTTCAGTTTTTTCTAATCTTTTCTATAATTTTCCAGATGAGTTTTTAAATTAATATCTTTTGTAATATCTTTGAGTTGAAGCTTAATGCCAGAAACAAATTATAATAGTTTGTTTTTCACTAATACCTTGATATTATTACAATTTGGGAGAGAATCCCCTCTACAATACCATTTGCATCCCATCTACATATAACGGGTGTGAAGTTATCCACATCCACAAATGTACACTGAGAAAAATATAACTCTATCGTAATAGTCATATAACTTGGTTCAAATTACCTGTAGAGACTTTTCATTTGTAGATTTCAATTGGGGAGGTTTCAATACACAGCAACCATACCCGCAATTAACTTTTGATTTGTCTCAGGGGGTGCAATTGGGGGTGAAATTAAAAAAAAAATCATAGAAGCCACAAATGGCTTTGTACACCTTTCTGCTTGGGATATGTTATGTAGTTTACTCTTTTCTTCATCCCTGATACCATGCTGGAGTTTGTCGAGCCGTCTGAGGGGGTGCAATTGGGGATGAAATTAAAAAAAAATCACAGAAGCCACAAATGTCTTTGTACACCTTTTTACTTGAGATATGTTATGAAGATAGCTATTTTCTTTATGCCTAATACCATACTGGAGTTTGTCGAGCCGTCTGAGGGGGTGCAATTGGGGGTGAAATAAAAAAAATCATAGAAGCCACAAATGGCTTTGTACACCTTTCTGCAAGCGATATGTTATGTAGTTTGCTCTTTTCTTCATCCCAGATACCATGCTGGAGTTTGTCGAGTCGTCTGAGGGAGTGCAATTGGGGATGAAATTTAAAAAAAAATCATAGACGCCACAAATGGATTTGTACACCTTTTTACTTGAGATATGTTATGAAGATAGCTATTTTCTTTATGCCTAATACCATGCTGGAGTTTGTCGAGCCGTCTGAGGGGGTGCAATTGGGGGTCAAATTAAACAAAAAATCATAGAAGCCACAAATGGCTTTGTACACATTTCTGCTTGGGATATGTTATGTAGTTTGCCCTTTTCTTTATCCCTGATACCATGCTGGAATTTGTCGAGCCGTCTGAGGGGGTGCAATTGGGGGTGAAATTAAACAAAAAATCATAGAAGCCACAAATGGCTTTGTACACATTTCTGCTTGGGATATGTTATGTAGTTTGCCATTTTCTTCATCCCTGATACCATGCTGGAGTTTGTCGAGCCGTCTGAGGGGGTGCAATTGGGGGTGAAATTAAACAAAAAATCACAGAAACCACAAATAGCTTTGAACACCTTTCTGCTTGGGATATGTTATGTAGTTTACTCTTTTCTTCATCCCTGATAGCATGCTGGAGTTTGTCGAGCTCTCTAAGGGGTGCAATTGGGGGTGAAATAAAAAAAATCATAGAAGCCACTACTGGCTTTGTACACCTTTCTGCTTGGGATATGTTATGTAGTTTGCTCTTTTCTTCATCCCTGATAGCATGCTGGAGCTTGTCGAGCCGTCTGAGGGGGTGCAATTGGGGATGAAATTAAAAAAAAAATCACAGAGGCCACAAATGGCAAATGACTCAATCGAGACGGAAATTTCAAATAAAACAAAATATTTATATAAATTTATTATTAAAATGTTCTTGAAATCAAGTAGTAATATCACAAAAGTAGAGGTAGGTATATCACAAATGCAGTTACACATGTGCAATAGTAGAAGCCACCTATAAAGCACTGAACGATTGGACAAAATTATATTTATATAAGGTACGTTTCAAGATAGCAATTGTATGATGCTAAAAAACTAGATCTGTGAACAATAGATGATTGCAAGAATGACTAGGTATATATTGTAGGAGATAGCCGAGTTCCCAGATTGTTTACCTGTACTCTCAGAGATATATCATCTTTTTAAAATCAAACCTTTTAACTTTTTTTTATATATTTATATATTTTTATTTTGTTAGTTTATTATTTATGCAAAGGTGAACAAAAATTATTTTATTGTAACTAAATGTGGCTTGAAAATATTTTTATTTACGCTATAATGTAAAAAAAATATATGACAATTTATTAGAAGAGTATAAATTATATTTTATATAAAATGATTTTACTTTTCCACAACATATTGAATAAAAAAAAGACTGACCTCCTTGTTTAACTATTATTAAAGGAAATTATATAGAAATTAAAAAAATATGCTCAAGTTTAAATTGTTGCTCTTATTTTTAGATAATTTTGTCTCAATTTGTTGTTTTAAATAAAACCTCCAACTTTTTATGATATTTTTTTTTTGCATTCACATATATGATCAGTTAATGAAAATGTCTTCTTTCTGAACCACCTGGGTTTAAGTTTTCGAATTTACAGATTTAATTATCCATTAAGTAAACTATCATCTCAATTTTTACAAGGAACGTTTCGTTTAAGTGGAATCACATATTGTAGATTTTGTTCCTTGTAAAAGAAGGGCCCCTAACATCTGTAGTAAGTTTGACCTCTCCATGCTTCCCTAAAATCACATACCAATAGTGTTATTTTATTTTAGGCCTTTATTTATCATTTACTGTAATTATCTACTGAATAATTATTTATCTAATAACTTAGTGGGTCTTTTGTTGAACTGAAATATTACCTAAAACATATACGTTAGTGTGATATATTGGAATAAATTATCGCTACGCCACTGTGTTAGTGAAGTGTATCGAGGTGTTCTTAGAATCCTTTTTTGTATTGTTTTTTCGGGAAACACATTTTAATATTTTTAAATGCTTGCTTTCCCACTTCAGTTTTCGTTTGTACTTAAAATCGAGTTAGTTGTTGTTATAATAAATAATTTTTAGGAATTTAGTGATTATTATTTGTTGAATATCCCACAGTTAGCGACATGTATAGGAATCTTGATTTATACAGTATGGTTCAAATGAAAGGAATAAATTCATTATAATGGAAATAGTTGGTTTTTCGAAAAAATGCTCGAACAGGTCAATTTTGTTTACTTAAAGCGCATTTTTTTAAATAAAATTCAATTTTCCCCCACTTCCCATTTTTGGGCAGTGACGTCATTGACAATTTTTTTAAATAGCAACCCCAATTTTTTTTTTCTTGATTTTGATAGATCTTGCAATTTCCTACTTGGAAACGTAATATTTGAAATATCTGACATAACAATTTTTTTGAAAAAAAGTCATTTCAAGATCAGATACATAAATTTTATGTTATTTTGAAACACAATAAATTAATAAAAGATAATTATTTGTAATTAAGTGCTTAATTTAAAAATAATAATAATAATAATAAAACGAATTTAATGACAATTTCACAAATTCTTTTTATTATTATTTTGTTAGATTAAGCATTTAATTACAAATAATTATCTGTTATTAATTTATTGTGTTTCAAAATAACATAAAATTTATGTATCTGATCTTGAAATGACTTTTTTTCAAAAAAAGTTGTTATGTCAGATATTTCAAATATTATGTTTCCGACTAGGGAATTGCAAGATCTATCAAAATCAAGAAAAAAAATTGGGGTTGCTATTTAAAAAAATTGTCAATGACGTCACTGCCCAAAAATGGGACGTGGGGGAAAATTGAATTTTATTTAAAAAATTGCGCTTTAAGTAAACAAAATTGACCTGTCCGAGCATTTTTTCGAAAAACCAGCTACTTCCATTATAATGAATTTATTCCTTTCATTTGAACCATACTGTATAGCTACGATTCACTTGCTGAGGCTTTGGTACCTCCAGGAGCCATCATCAGTTATTACCGCATCTTGAACGATCACCAGTTTGATTGCAGTAAGATTTATAACTTCTCAGCCACAAGTAAGGACTATCTTTTTCTCTTTCTCCAGATTTGGAAGTAATGGCTCGTTTCAATTAATTCCTAAAATAAATATAAACTATAGCAGATAAACTTGAAAAATTAAATATGTAAACTCACCTGTGCACCTTCTAGTACTAAAAGGGGGACCATAAGATAAATTGTATCGTATCATTGATACCATTAACACATTAACAGCTTTAATAACCATTTGTAGGGGATTATAAACCACAGGGTAAATTGTGCATGAGCTAAAAGAGATATTATATCAAATCACTGTTAGATATACTTTTATTAATCCCTTCACTCTCCGAATCATTAAATTTTAAGAGCCAGCTAGGGAAAAAGGAATTACTGTCACCACTTACATCCTTGGATAGGCCAGTAACGTGGCAACTTAGTTTTGTATATTTCTTTTATAAGTATTTATAAGTAAAATGTAACTGGACATTTAGTTAAATGTTAATCTTCTCGTTTACCAATGTTTATCTACCATTGTTTGTTTTTATTGTAGTTAAACCATTTTGTATTAGGGTTGTCACCTTTTCATTTCAAAAAAACTGGACCTTTGTGAATGTTCTAAAAAAGTGCTTAGCTTATAACTTTATAAACCAAGTCCTTCTGTTGAGCTTCTAAAAAAAGGTCCTCATTTTATAATTTCATAAACCAAGTCCTTCTATCTAACTTCTAAAAAAGTTATCATATATTCACAGACATTTTTATAATTTTATAAACCAGATCCAGATCCTTCTGTCGAAAACTTCTACAAAAATATGATCCACAAATTTTCTGACATTTTGATCAAATTTACAAAAGGTAATCTAAAACGAAGAAAATGGTACAGAAAATAGTTTTCTATTTTATAGAGGATCCTTATCAATTGTACTCAAATGTTTAAATAATAATTATAAAATTGATTCTGCAAGTTAAAAAACAGAAAAAACAACTAAAACATGATATATGACAAGAAAAATTGACACGTGTCAATTGACATAAACATTCCGAATCAGATTGTGATGTCCTCAGTACTTCTCGTGGATACTTTTTTAGCAAATTACTTTATTACATTGTGTTAACATAACAGGTAGGTTAAATAGGCAAGTAACAAATAGAAGTTTTGCGAGGTTTTGATTTCCCTCAACAACTTCCCATAAACGTTGCATTTACGTTGTATAATAATGTTATTACGTTCCCTTAAAGCAACATCGCCGAAAGGCTTGGCAACGTTATGTGCTAGCTGGGTTCTATCAATCAGGCAAATTAGAGTACTATAACTGACACTCATATTCATCTCCCAGCTTGAAGTGATTGAGTTGATCATTGTTTCATACTTAGAGTTTTTTACTCCAAAGTTTTCTCCTATCACCCAAACATTTTGTTTTATAGAGTCAAAAGGAGATATTCCAAAAATAATTTCAACCAACATTGCAAAGAAAATTAATCCATCACTTGAAATAGATGAAGAATGGGTTAAGTTTATAAAAGAAAAATTTTTGGTGACCATGCCAGAAGATTTTTATCAGTTTTGGAATTTTTGTAAGAAAATAAAACCTGCAAATACTTTAGAAGCTTTGAGAGAAGTAGGTCTATATTTAATTGGACCATTTGATGTTTTAGCAGGTAAATACTTATTTTTTTCTATTTTCAATATTCCTCTTGATCCATACTTCTATTTTTATCAAATTTTTTTTAAATTTCTTGCCTTTATTTAGTGTTTATATACCGGGTGTCCCAGATTTTTTTGCCCAGCGGATATCTCGGTTATTTAATGATATAAAATTGTAAAAAAAAATATGAATAATATTTGTCTAGTAGCCTTTTAAATTCCACTACATAAAGTTATATTCATCAATCCACCCCATAGGAACAACCCCTAACTTTTTTTTTTCAAATGTCACCCCTATATTTTTTTTCGCTGATATAAATACTCAATTTGTCCCGAATGCAACGATATGATATTTGATATACTTTACAGAGTCATAAAGCCGGTAAAGACTAAAAACCAATGTTGTGGTTAAAGTCATTAATTTTGTATCACCTGGTATTTTCTTTTTATTTTGATTAGAATTGCTTCGTTTTTGTTTTTTTTTTTTGTTACCTATAACTAACTAACGATATGCTTAGACCATTTCTGAAATTGTTCGCTAGCTATAAACAACAGACAAAATGCCCTTTACATTCACTCCAAACGAATATGTTGATATGCTTTTAATTTTTGGTGAGTGCCAAAAAAATTCTCGTGCTGCTGTACACTTGTATCAACAGAGGTTTCCTGAGCGCCGACAACCATCACGTAAAACATATTCTTATGTTGAGACTAGGATGAGAGAAGGGTCATTTCCAGGAAAAGACAAACATCGTCAACATGCTGCTGCTGTAAGAACTGAAGAAATGTGCATTAATGTATTAGCTTATGTGCAAGTACATCCCCAGATATCGACGCGAAACCTAGCTAACGAGGTTCATATTAGTAAGTCGTCAGTACAAAGAATCCTAAAATCCTATAATTTTCATCCGTTTAAAATTCATTTGCATCAGGAACTTAGAGCTGGAGATTTCGAAAGAAGGATAACATTAATAGCACATTTTGAAGATTTAATGGAACGAAATCCCAACATTTTGAACCAGATATTGTGGAGTGACGAATCAAGGTTTCACAATAATGCTACTGTAAATCGTCACAATATGCATTATTGGTCTCCTGAAAACCCTCACTGGGTTAGGGAAACTAACTTTCAGACCATCTGGGGAGTAAATGTGTGGTGTGGATTATTTCAGGGACGACTGATAGGTCCCTATTTTTTTCAAGGTACGTTAACTGGTGCTAGGTACTTACACTTTCTTGAAAATGACCTTCCAGAACTTCTTGAAGAAATTCCAATACAAGAAAGAGGTGCTATGTGGTGGCAACAAGATGGAGCTCCTCCACATAATAGTAATTTAGTTACCCAATTTTTAAACGAACGCTTTGAAAATCAGTGGATCGGAAACAGCGGCCCTTTGAGGTGGCCTGCGCGTTCACCAGATTTATCGCCTCTAGATTTTTTTTTTATGGGGATATCTGAAGACCGTGGTATTTGAAACACAGCCATTGAATTTAGAAGATTTGCAAAATAAAATAGTACAAGCCTGCAATAACATTACACCAGAAATGATTACAGCGTCATGTACTCGTGAACTCATTCGACGTTTTGAAGCATGTTTGGCAAGTAATGGGGGCCATTTCGAACAATTTTTGTAAATATTCAATTATTTAAAAAACATATTAAGAGGTTTACCTATTCATTGGATTTGTTATTTTTTAATATAATAAAATGATAAAATGTAAACTAATTATTAATGACTTTAACCACAACATTGGTTTTTAGTCTTTACCGGCTTTATGACTCTGTAAAGTATATCAAAAATCATATCGTTGTATTCGGGACAAATTGAGTATTTATATCAGCGAAAAAAAATATAGGGGTGACATTTGAAAAAAAAAAGTTAGGGGTTGTTCCTATGGGGTGGATTGATGAATATAACTTTATGTAGTGGAATTTAAAAGGCTACTAGACAAATATTATTCATATTTTTTTTTACAATTTTATATCATTAAATAACCGAGATATCCGCTGGGCAAAAAAATCTGGGACACCCGGTATACAGAAATGGTAATTTAATTTGATATATCAACCTGATAAGGATATGAAAATTTTATTAATAATTTCAGGCAAGTTTTCCAGTATAAAAAAATCTCCAGATGAATATTTAATTCATTGGAGATATTATAGGGACCCCCCAGAAATGCAAACAGTTTTAAGAAGTGACGAGCCTACAGGATATCATATTGGTTATTTCAGAGATTCTCCCGGTGATTTGCCAACACTATTAGTATCAAATCATTCGAAAAAGAATGGTATATTAACTCAAATGGGTGGAAATATTTTTTCTGCTGTTAAGTAAGTTGTTCAAGTATTTTTTAAGTAACATTTAAAAATCTTGAATATTTTATTTTTAGTATTTTCTTTTTAGTATTTTCTTAGAAGAATTGAAGAAAAGTGGCAATCCATTTAAAAAAATGGCTATAGGAACACTACAAACTGCATTACTAAAGCAAGCTGACCTGCTTGGAATTGACATGTCCAAAAAAACTGAAGAGATGATAAAACGGGAGAAAAAAATTGTGACAAGGACCTTTAACAAAGTTGGATTAGTTATACCTTATGACAAAAAGTAAGATTTATGATATTAATGATATTAAAATATCCAGAGCAGATTATATGGGCATTTTACAACATTAATTTTGTCTGTTACCTATTTATATTAATTTATTGCAGCAATTAATTTAAATACTCTTTTATAGTTCATTTGGATGAATGTTGTGAAAGTTTTTACACAAAAAATATACTAAATTTTAACAAAATAAATAAATTTCAGAAATGATGTAGGATATCGTCCTTTGGCCCTAGATAACAAAGCTTTGGAAACATATTTAACAAAACTTCAAAACGCCAAGACAAAAGAAGAGAAACAAGCTTGCTTATCAGGGTTACAGCCAGTATTCACATTCGCCAGCATAGCAGCAGATGAATGCGATTTTGGCACGGGCATTGAGCTTGGATTGAACATAATTAGCCATGGCGTTGATTGTTTGAATTCGACTGCTGAGCAGTTTTTAGTTTCTAATTATAAATTATTGAATAGAGACGAATTTGCTAAAATTGCAGAAGCGCATATGAAGAATAGGAGGAAGAGTTTGAATTTGAGTATCTTGTAAGTTTTATTGGTAATAAATTACTTTTTTATAATCTTTATTTTTTTCCTTCATAAGACTCTAAGATAAGCCATGTGTCACAAAACAATACAAGCGAATGTTTCCTACTGATAAACAACTACTCCTTTGACTAATACCTTGGAATATAAAAAAAACAGCAGTACAAGTTGTTTTCATCCTTTTAAGCTTTGATTTTGTGGGCACAGAGGGGACATGTCTGTACCATGGCCTTGCTACCCTAAATAAAAGGCAGATGGATTTGAATTTAGGGGGGCATGGGAATTAGTGACAGGTTATGATATGGCAACCCTGCGAGCCTGGTGATTTGACAGGGTCAGTAATTCATCTAACCCTAAGTTCGAGTAGAAACTCAGGTTGCTCTGAGTTTATTTTTTTAGAGATTCGGAGTGTGATCTGTCGCGTTCGATATGACTGAGTATGGGCTCCGAATGTACTCTTTTAACTGTGTTAGAAGATCGAGATCTGTTGGAAAGTTAAATAATGAAATGTCAATTATGTCAATGAACGGTACGTATTATTGTTCTCTGGGTTTGTGCTAGGTACACATACTTTGATTACTATACGGTGCAAGAGAGAGGTCCGCACATACTTTGATTTTCTTTTACTATACGGAGAATGGTCGCACTGCGCAGCTTTCTGAGTGCCTTTTAAAAGGAGATAGAAAACTCCGCCATTTTGAACCCTTATTACGTGTTGCCTACATCTTGGCGCAATATTTTTAATAGATGCGTTTTAATCATCCGCTTCTGCTTCGGAATTGTCGGTTTTCTTGTTTTAATCTGACATGTTAAAACGACTAAACCGACAATTCCGGAAGCAGAAGCGGATGATTAAAACGCACCTGATATTTTGCTTGCTGCTGTCAGTGTCAGTAAATATTATTTTTGAAGTCACAGTTTATTGCTTAAGAATCAGTTAGCTCACTCGGACCAGTTGAAAGTTCCAAAATAACATCCACTCCAGGGATACAAATTCAGGATACGCAGAAGACTGCTGTTTGAATATAGGCGGTTGTCATAATTGTATTATTCGAGTGGCGCAGTGTATAAACTGGAACATTGAGATCAAAAGTGCCGACGCAGAGTGAGCGATCTGATTCTTTATCTATAAACTGTTGCATAGGGTTCAAAATGGCCGCGCTCTATGTTGGGTGTGTCGGACCTCTCTCTTGCGCCGTATAGTAAAGAAAATCAAAGTATGTGGAGGTCCGACACACCCAACATAGGGCGCGGCCAGTTTGATGCCTTTACCACAGTTTATAGCTAAAGAATCTGTTCGCTCACTCTGCGTCGGCACTTTTGATCTCAATGTTCCAGTTTATACACTGCGAAACTCGGATAATACAATATATGACACCCGCCTATAATAAAACAGCAGTCTTCTGCGCATCCTGAATTTGTATCCCTGGAGTGGATGTTATTTTGGAACTTTCAACTGGTCCGAGTGAGCTAACTGATTCTTTAGCAATAAACTGTGACTCCAAAAATAATATTCACTGACAGCAGCAAGCAAATTATCAGGTGCGTTTTAAAACAAGAAAACCGACAATTCCTAAGCATAAGCGGATGATTAAAACGCACCTATTAAAAATATTGTACCAAGATGTAGGCAACACGTAATAAGGCATCAAAATGACGGAGTGTTCTATCTCCTTTTAAAAGGCACTCTGAAAGCTGCGCAGTGCGCCTTATCTCCGTATAGTAAGAGAAAAAAAATCAAAGTATGTGGCAATATATGTATTTTAAAATTGTTTAACTCATAATAATTAACCTTAGAATATTGTTCTAAGTAATTAACTGAGCGTTGACTGACATTAGGCATTCCAAACAAAATGGCTACCCGTAGAAAATGACAGGCCTCTGACAGGCATATGATAGCTTATAATATGGCAACACTGTGGGCTGGTGATTTGACAGGACAGAACTCTGCTCATGCCCTGCCATCACCATAGGGCGTCATCTTGAACTTCCCCCAAGTTATTTAAAATAAACATGTAAACAAAGTAAAAATGTATGTAATTCTTTTTTTTTACTATATTCAAATGCTGAAAATTGGCTTTAAAATATATTTTTGCTAAACCGATTGCGAGGCAATATGGCCGTTCACAAAACGACCGGCTTTGAGCAATCTATATAACTATTGATATGGGTTATCGTAATTTATAAAATTAGAGTGTGTTAACTAATAATGGAGATAAACTAAGTACATATTTTTAAGTTAAAGTCTTTATCGTAAGGGAAGATAATAGAAAATTATGAATTTATGAAATTCACTTTATCACCCCGTAGAATGAAAACTGGAGCGTTTACAGAAAAATTATAATTAGCTTTTCTTAATAAGATCTACAAGTCCTCAGTTTACGGTACTATATTCTAAAACACCCTGTATAAATAGAAACTAATCTTATCCAATCTCTTATTATAACCCCGGTAAATAAATATGAAAATTTTAACTATAATTTTGAAAAAATAGAAGTCATTGTAAGATACCATCCAATATATCTGCTTTTACCTACTTGACACCTGTATTTGCTCTTACTTCACGCCTGTATTTGCTCTTTTACTTCATGGCCGCATTTGCTCTTGACGGCCGTATTTTCTCTTAATCCACTGCCGCATTTGCTCTTACTTCATGGCCGCCTTTACTCTTCATAGCCGCGTACCTCTTGCTTATTCATCAATTACTTATCCAAGTTTAATTAAATCAATAGTCAAATGGGACTATATAATAGTAGGGACTGCATAATGTACGTAAAATTTATTTTATTTTAAAAATTTTTAAACTATTCATCTCCATACTTTTTAAAACTTAACTGCACCAGAAGTTGCAAAAATTGTAGTTTCCTAAACAAAAACCAAGGAACTTTTTATTTATATAAAATTCTACTACGGTCAGGAAATTATTCTTATTTTCAATTGTATACCCAACGAATATTTTGTTTTGGCAAGTTAACGGCCTTTAAACGTATATACGTTACTTCAAGTAGTGGCCTTTCGGTGGGGGTCTGCATGTCGATTTTTTGCCACAACGGGCGGCAGAAGACCGTCGTCTCTTACAGCAATAATTAGTGAAAGGCCTGCATATGGCCAGCAGTTTCCCATAATATTGTTAACTTCCCATCAAAGGGCTTGCATAAGGCTCTTATAAAAATGATGCTGAGCTTTTAATGAGAATGTACCACGTGTGTCTTCTACAAAAACTATGTTCAATATTCATAAAATATTCTAAATTAACAATACATAAAAATAAGAAATTGCAATGAATACTGAATAGTGAATACCAGCAATGCGAGACTTTCACTCGTTGAGTATGTAGCAAGGAATCATCGGTGCCATCATCTAAGAACGCGGGATGGGGCCCACCTGGACTCTTGTGGTTAAAAGCCTTTTGATTTTTACCATGTTTTCACAGTTGAATGCGGGAAACAGTTGAAAAGCCGTCAACGGCCCATCAAATAATTAAAGTTAATACGGGCAGTTAATTGCAAATTTAAAAAGGGCTATTACGAGTTTACCGTTACAAGTTACTTTGCCATCACATTCGTTAAAGGACCAACAACGTGCCACAATTTCAATGTTTGTTGGGATAATTTTAATTTTTATACACAAAGTTTTGAATACATTCTTATCATTTGGGGGAAGGGTTCTCGTTTTCCTTATTTTTACATATACATTGTAAATGACAACTAATGACAGTTCAAGTTGATTACCGTTTGTTCCAGTCGATTTGGACCAATAATAGCGGATATATAAGCTTGAGTCCTTTTGGCAATGATACTATACATGTTTTTTATTGTAAATCACAGTTCGATCTGAAACCTGTTTGTTCCATTTTATTCGGGCCAATAATAACGGATATACAGGCTTAGGACCTTTTGGCAACGCTGCTGCGCATTATATCTGTCTCCTCGTCTTATATTGCTTTATACCTTTAGCTCCTCTTCTTCGAGTATCCAGAAACTTCTTCAACGTCTCCCCTGGTTTCACGTCACTCCTTCAACTCTTATTGGGGGAAGTACCAATATTTTTCTTCTAATTTTGACATATAAAGTGAAATTTTTTGTAATCACAGCAAATGTCAAAACGATCTACTTTACGTAACCAGTTGCGTAATGTCGAATATTATGTAACTGGTTTAGAAAAATTAATTGTCACCGGTTGCGAAAAGAAAACAAGTAAAAATAAAGCTTTTTTGGTTTTAAAGTCAATAACATACATTATTATTGGCAGTTTGTATCAAAGAAAGTAGGTTGACTCATACAAATTGAATTAGGTTAAACTTACAACCTAGTAATAATGTTGTTTTGGTCCTTATTTTCTATTCTAAATCAGCACAAAATAATTAAATCACTACACAACAACGTAATCCACGTTTTTGAAACTTTAATAAACAATATAAACACATTACAAGTCGTTGAGAATAAATAATTACTATGATGTATTGGTTAATAAAATGGTGCATATGCAACTAACAATACAAGAAAGTAATGGTTGCCTAGATGTCAGTAATGTTTTACCAAAACACAATTTTATAAATATTCTAGTCAACATTAGAAAAAATATTGTATATACCTAAAACGTTACTAATGCCGTTTTATGTAACTTTGTTCATGTTGCGGGTACTCGCTCTGCTCGTTTCGCAAATATTCACTCTTTACATAAAGCAAAAGGCATTTCGTAACTGGTTGCATAAATAGCTATTAAAGATTAGTAAATTATATTTAAGTCATAAAACACTGCTTGGAAAATTGCAGTTTTAAATGTAAGAACTTTTCTATCATTCTTGTAAAAAAAAACATTAAAGTTATTGGCCTCATTTACACTATACAGTGCGTCCATAAAGTAACGCATAAATTCATTATTGGCTAAATGAACAATAAAATTAGGAATTCCCAAAACAGGTCGATTTTTGATTTCAATTTACTATTGTTTCAAATCATAATCTAATATATAGGGTGAACCACTTTCGTGTAATGACGTCATCACCATTTTTTTCAAATGGAACCCCCCCTTT